GGGGGTCGGGGTGGGAGTGGGGGGGTAAGGAGGGGATGGGGGGAGCGGGGAGTGGGCTTTGGGGGGTGCCCGGGGTGCTGCGGGGTCCGAGCCCAGGAGGGGTCGCGGGGGGAGGAGACCCCCGGGGCTGGGGGGACCCCAAGGGTTGAGGTGTCTGGTGGGGGAGAAGGAGCTGCTGGGGTTTTGGGAAGGGGTCGATCCCCAGCTCCATGGACACACACCCCCCCCCGACCTTGCTGGGCGAGGTTTTGACGGTCCCGGGGGGTGTTTGCAGGAGGGAATTCCAACGGGGGCTGGAGCTGCAGGGGTGAAATGGCTGCGAAGGTGTTTGAGAGCATCGGGAAGCTCGGCCTGGGCTTGGCTGTTGCAGGTGGAGTCGTGAATTCTGCTCTGTACAACGGTGAGTGGGACGAGCTGGGCGCTTCAGGCCACTTTATTTTATGGTTTTGTCAATGTTTTGGCTTCTTTGGGCTTTTTTATTGCCAAATAAAAAGAGCCCCCAGGTCTTGCTGGGCTGGTTTATACCTGGAGCATTGCACAATCAGGAGGGCTGGGAGGTCCTTTCCCCAAAAGCTGTCACGGGGCTGCTCCGTGGGGAGCCCAGCCCGTTCCCAGGGGGTGTTTTTGGGATTCCCTGACGTGCTGTTTCCCTCCCCAGTGGATGCAGGACACAGGGCCGTGATCTTCGACCGGTTCCGAGGGGTGCAGGACGTGGTGGTGGGGGAAGGGACCCACTTCCTGATCCCCTGGGTGCAGAAGCCCATCATCTTCGACTGCCGCTCCCGCCCCCGCAACATCCCCGTCATCACCGGCAGCAAAGGTGAGCCCTGGGGTGGGGAACGGCGGGACTGGGGCTTCCCTGGCTTTGATCCCTCCTGCTGGGTGTGGAGATGGGCCCTAAAGCAACGGCCATAAACTGAGCCACAAGTTCCACCTCAGTGTGAGGGAGAAATTATTTCCATGGCGGTGGCAGAGCACTGGAGAGGTGAGCAGGGAGGCTCACCTCAGGGAGTCTCCCTCTCTGGAGACATCCCAAACACACCCGTGTCACCTGCTCCAGCTGCCCCTGGGGTGGCACTGGGTGATCTCCAGAGGTTCCTTCCAACCCCAGCTCTTCTGGGATTCTGTGCAGACCCCACCTGTCCCGGGTTGGCACAGTCGGGACTGGTTTGATGTGACTCTTTAACTGAAGAACAGGTCAAAGGGCTCTTCCTTTGGTCCCGTAAATCCCAGAAGAGCTGGGGTTGGAGGGGCCTGTGGAGATCACCCAGGACAGGGTGACCTGGAGCAGGTGACACAGGAGCTCATCCAAGTGTGTTTGGGATGTCTGCAGAGAGGGAGACTCCAGAGCCTCCCCCGTTCCAGTGCTCTGCCACCTCCATGGAGAAAGTTCTTCCTCAAGTTGAGGTGGCCCTTGTGGTGTTTTAGTTTGTGCTTGTCCTGGGCACCACCCTGGCACCCCTTGGGGACGTTTGTACGTTTATCATCA